TGTTTTAAAGTTATGTTTATTTTACTTTCCTGCTGTATGGATTAGGATTGTCAATGGCTGTTTTTAAAGGGAAGTGTTCCACCTAGAATTCTCATATTTATTATCTCTTCATTTGGATTTACCAGAATACTAATAGGTAATATAACAACGATTATTTTAAATGTTATATTCCTTCATGTATTAATTGCCAACAGTTTGTGTATTCATTTTATATTGCTGTGTAAGAAACTGCCACAAATTAATGGCTAAAAACAATACCTATTTAATATCTCATAGTCCTGTACCATTTGGCTGGATTCTCTGCTCAGGTTTTCACAAGGCTGAAATCAATATGTCAGCCAGGCTGAGTTCTCTTCTGGAGGCTCTGGGGGAAGAATCTATTTCCAAGCTCATTCAAGTTGTTGGTAGAATTCAGCTCTTTGAAGGTATGATACTGAGGTCTCTGTTTTCTTACTGGCTGTCAGGTGGGGGTCACTCTCAGCTCCTAGAGGTTGCTCTCAGTTCATTGCCCTGTAGCCCCCTCCATCTTCAGAACTGGCAGCAGAGAATCTTCTCTTGCATGGAATCCCTCTTATTTGAATCTCTGTGACTTCTCTCTCTGGCCTGTAGACCCAGATTTAAAGGGCTCATGTGGTTATGTCAGTCCCACCTTTGTTAAAGTCAACTGTGCCATGTAACATAACCTACTTATAGGAGGAAAATCCATAATATTCACAGTCTCAGGGATTATGCAGGGTATGTACACCATGGTACGGGAAACTTGGGGGTCATCTGAGAATTCTGCCTACTGATTTATGTCAATCTTCACAAAATACTGTTTTGAAAAATCTGTAGTGGCTATATCCTTAAAAAGTTCTATTAAGATGTGGCACAACAGTCCAGGGACAAGGACTAGAAGGCAGGAGGGGACAGGAAAGCTGGTAATAGGGAACCCAAGGTTGAGAAGGGACAGTGTTGACATGTTGTGGGGTTGTTAACCATTGTCATAAAATAATATGTGTACTAACTGTTTAATGAG